GATAATTAGCGTGTGGACCGTTTTCATTTATATAGTGCTCTGTGAACACAAATTAGTTAGCATAAATCAGTTTAATGAAGAAAAAATTAGGTGTCTATTTACTTGTGACCACTCAGTGTATATATTTGTCTTCTAGTTTCCGTAATGGGTTATGTTTCATCAACTGAGTAAAATAGCTTCATAAAACAACAAATCTGATTTCATAAATTGTAGAACACACAACACTATTTCCCAGCAAACTTTATTTGCAAGTAACGTACCTTGCACAGTGTACAGGATAGTTACTTAAACTATCCAAACCAACGTGTCATGTGCAATAAGTTGGCATGACGGAGGCACGAGCATAACATTAACAACTTTCTATTGAATTGGTTCAAAAAATCATATTTAATCTCTTTTTTTGTTTATTAATTGTTCTTAGATTATAGCTGTTTAAATAAAATAGTGTAATTTTCCTTTTTTTTAAGACATTAAAAGTTAACTCCTGTTTCTTCAGCATAACAAAAGAACAAAACTTTTTGTCTACAACCAGAAATAAACGACATACTCTACAATGAAATTGCATTTACCTTATTTTTTATGTTTGTGTGTTAGCGCGCAGCTACATATCAGGATTTTGCGTAGTTAGTCTGTAAACTTACCATTAACCCATCATAGGGACAACAACTACCCTGAAGAGCGGTAAAAAAAAAAAGAGTATTAGGGTGATCATTTTATTACAGCTTAAATATTATCATTTCTATTAGTTTTCTAATAATATATGAAATGCTTTATAAAGACATATTCGTCACCGAAGTTTGTTAATAATCACAAATCTTTACTGAAAATGTAAAACTTTCATGAACTTTTATTAAACAAATTGTAAGTGATTGTTTTAGCAATGGTATTCGTTATTGTAAAAATAATGTAACACATGCTGAAGAATAGAAAACACTATCAAAACATAGTAATAATAGTCAGTTACTTGATTTGTAGGAACTTCTCGGTGGTTCGCTTAAAGATTTTAATACTTATCAAACTTAAAATAGCTGAGAGATGGTAACCAAACTGAGCAGTCTTTAAACTTGTTCAGAATAATTGAAATACTTCCTTGATAAATCATTACAGGCTAAATGGCAGAAATAAAAGTCTCTTGCAAGAATAAAGGTAGCGTTAATTTTTTTCCCGGTGATGCATAAATAGCAACATTATTGATAAAGTACGCATATAAATAAACGAAGCCCTTATTTAAATCCATTCTACTCATTCATTGTATAATAGATTATGACAAACTAGCATAAAATACCTGTACTTCTCTGTGGGTTCCAAAGGCCCCCTCATAATTCACAGAGGTCTTCTTTAACTACCACAAGTGAGGTATGTACCCGAAAACAAGCTCTGTAAAACACTCGCACCTGGTACTTGAACACGTGTGTCATGTACTACCCCTAGTGTGTAAGTGGGATTCATATCTACTTTTAACAAATTGCTCCGAGGATTCTGGAGGGGGGTGGGTGGGCAAGAAACAAAATCTGACATTGTTGTTGTTGTTCTT